CCCGCTACAGGAAGAATAGATGTCGACTCGCAGGCCCACATGCACTACGATATAGCGGACATCTATTATTCGTACCTACTAAATAGGTAATGGCATGTGGCCAGGTTAGCAGGTTAGCAGGCAGGATTGGCCTTGGCTCGTCGGGCCCAATCAGCAACTCGCTTCCTTCTAGAACTGGACATGGACAACTTCCCGTCCTTCCTCGAGTCTCACTCAAACTCTTTTCCCGCACCTAACTAAATTTACTAATTCCCCAAGCCCCAAGCCCCAAGCACCCGGTTTCTCGCTCTGAGATCTGAGAGATACCACAGATACCATACAGTACTTGGTACTTGACGCCGACTCCCATCAACGGAGCAATCAATTTCAACCTGTCTCAACCTCGCCTCTCCCTTCCGTGTCTGTTGTCTGCTGTCTGCTGTTTCTCTTCTCCCTTTCTGCTTTCTGCTTCCAATTTCCCAATTGGCAACACCTAACCGAACCCTCTCTTCCTTCCAACTTGCTATTCACCATTCACTGCGAAGCCAATCCGAAACTTGTAAGAGAAGCACGGCGCGTCCAGCCAGCACACAAACTCTAATTTTTCCACCTCCCACCTCCCACCCTTACTTTCCTTGGCCGCATTAAACTCGGCTTGGTGTCTGTCTCCTTCTCACTTTGTTTTTGTTCAACGCCCGACAAGTCTCCTCCCGAGCTCATCGACTCGTTCGGCACGCGCCTAGACTCGCTCTTACATCAACCCATATCTTATGAACCGCATCGGCACTCGACGCAATTCTGGAGTTGCGTGATCTCGCGCATCCCACACATAAGTAGACGGCGCACGCAGTTTAGTAAAAGGGCTCTACTCCCGCCAAGCTTGTACTCGCATGTTCCTCATCTCATTGTAGACGCACCCCCAACTGCAAGGCCGCCGCTGTTTCTTGACCATGAGAGGCGCAAAGCAAGACCCCGGTCGCGTCCGGAGACCCTATACTAAGAGGGCTCGTCCCCAGGAAGGACAACAACCACAGCCCAAAAGGAAGCAGTCAAAGCAAGAGCCGCCGCCACAACATGAGCCGGCGGCCCTGACCCGCACTCTTCCCATTCACATCACCGAGGTCGTTGACGACCAGCAAGTTGGACATCTTCCACTTCCCCAGCCCATCTATGGCGACGTCTCGGAATTGCAGGACCGGGTCAATGACCTCGGCGACTCGTGGGAAACCGAGTCCATCTTTGAGGACATTATAGATGACCTGACTCATGACACGTTTCCTCCCGAAGGTAAATAAATACCCCCAACTCATCATCATCATCATCATCATCATCATCATCATCATCAGTTCTGTCATGCCAACCACGCGCTCGGCTGGTTCGAGACACGCTTCATTGAGTCGATGGCAACTGAGGTGTTGACGAAATGGACATGTGAGAATTACAGGTGCTAACACACTACACATATACAGTTGATGCTTGCACCCCCGAGCAATCAGTCACCTTCCGCCAGCAATTGCGCGCCATCGGGCCTAATGAGTTCTGCCATATGCACATAGACTCCGGCACCATCACCGCCAAGAAACTACTCACGGCCTTTGGTATTCGCCCCCCGGATTTTCTTGAAGGGCGGCCCGACGAGGCCTATCTTGGCCTGCTCACTCTGGCCATAACCCGCGAGCTCACAAAACGAGCCAAGATCATGGCATACAACTCCATCGACGATGCGGTCGACCTGATCAAGAACTCGCGCCACATCATCGTCTTAACGGGGGCAGGCATCTCGACTTCTCTCGGCATACCCGACTTCCGCTCTAAGGAGACGGGGCTCTACTCTCAGCTGGAGAAACTGGGATTGGGTATCAACGATCCGCAGGAGGTTTTCAACATTGACGTGTTCCGCGACGACCCCACCATCTTCTACACGGTGGCCAAGGACATCCTACCGGCCACCAAGAAGTTCTCGCCAACACATTCATTCATTGCCATGCTGCAAGACCAGGGCAAGTTGCTAACTAACTACTCGCAAAACATTGACAACATTGAGGCCAATGCGGGCATCTTACCCGAGAATCTCGTACAATGCCACGGCTCGTTTGCCACCGCCAGTTGCCAGCAGTGCGGCCACCAAGTGCAGGGCGATACCATCTTTGGCGAGATCAAGGCCGGCAAGATCCCACGCTGTGGCAAGTGTGTCGCAGCACTCAAAGCGAAGGGCATAGGCCCGCCGAAACGTAAGAGAATGGGCAGTAGTGGCCCCAAGAAGGCCCGCCGCAACTTCAAAGGTTTTGACGACGACGACGACGACGACGACGATGGAGCCTATGACATCCCCCAGGCCGGGGTCATGAAGCCAGACATCACCTTCTTTGGGGAGCCTCTCCCCGACGAGTTTTCAAAGCGCCTCGTCAAGCACGACCGCAACCTAGTCGACCTTGTCATCGTCATTGGCACGTCACTCAAAGTAGCGCCCGTCTCCGAGGTTGTGCCTTTCCTGCCCGCACACATCCCGCAGATTTACATCTCACGCACGCCCGTCAGCCACATCAATTTCGACATTGACCTCCTAGGCGACTGTGACGTCGTCGTGGCCGAGCTCTGCCGCCGCGCAGGATGGGAGCTCAATCATCCCATGGTGCCGCCGAATCAAAAGATCAGCATCGCACTGGAGAGGGGTTACAAGAGTCGGCATATTTTCACGCGAGACGAGGAAGCAGCGCCGGAATCACCGGCCGCAGCAGAGGTGAAAGAAGCGGATGACGCCGAAGCGGAAGAAGCTAAGCCGCAAGTCAAGAAGCGCAGCGGTCGCAAAAGTCCCTCTCGCAACTCGGACAGTTTCGCAGTTGCAGCATAGAAGCGTTGACTGACTATCGAGATATCGAGATATCGTGAGGTCACTTGCTACATCATCACAGCGTTACGTAACGACTCGTGACCGTGGGGTCTGCACCGCGAAAAAAGCGCTCTATTTTTTTATCTTACATTGTACACGCTGTTTTACAGGATGGTGTTTAGGCGCTCATTCTCCCGGTTCCATAGGTCCTGGTTTCGGTTTTCGCGCGCCCCCTTGCCGCCCGGGCGTTGGCGACCTAACCCGAGCACGTCTCATTGATCCACAGTAATTGTTTCGGCGTAATTATCATGATCCATCCCAATGGCGCGGCGACACATGTCCGCGCTCATTAAGGCGCAAACACACGGTGCCACAAAGCAAGATTGGGGGGAAGGGGAATGACATGACCATCGTGTGTGGGGAATTGCGTGTTTTCTTACCGCATTGTGTACCAGAGAACCTGAGTGGGAGGGGATCGAGATGTTAGAATGCACAGGCGTTGAACTTGGGGCGTTCTGGGGTCGCCTACTAACCGTACTTAGATAAAATTACTTAGCTACAAATGCAAAAATCGGGCTACGCGGTCCGAGTAATCGACGTTTCGTCCAATGAAAGCGGTGCTCGTTTTATCACAACATTCCACTGTCTTACGCCAACTACCAGACACAAGCTGAGAAAATATTAGCACTAGACTTGCAAGACATGGCGAGGAAAAGGAAAAGGAAAAAAGAGCGAATAAACAAAGAAAATGCGACCCAGAGAGGACAAGTGAATCCGCCGTGCAACCACACTTTGAGCAATAGGATTCTACCCCAGCTCTCCCAAATAATCCAAATTTATCCCGAAACAAGCGGCGATGCCGCATGCCTTATTTTGTTATCTACGGAACGAAGTATCATGAAGTTGGTAATTAGGTATCGCACGTGTGATTGTAGCATTGTCTGCTGCTGTGCTGACCTAACGTAAGTGCCCCTACGATGCATCTACACTGCTTGTCCCAGTTGCGCATACTTCGAAGCTATAAACCGATTGTTTTTACCAGAAGTATCATGCTGAGGGCCGGAGCGAGGGTTGTTTAAATCTATACCGGAGGCGGCAGGACAGTAACGACAGCGAATTGACAAGCTCAACGAACAACAACTTTACTCGTCCCATGGGTTGAAAATGAATGACTCTGCCTCTAAACCCCGCGACGAGTGGTATGGTGTGCCTTCGCTTAGAGACTCGTTCTTATCTTTCGATTTCGATATCTGGCTTAGCAAAGCATAATAAATGGGGATCATAGCGTGGCTAGCACCTTGTAAAGCCCCTGTAGCAACTGTCCGTTTCCCCTCACACGAACAGAACAGTACATCAATTTATGATCTATCACTACTATATTACTGTGATCCATTAGCAGTGGCTGCAATGATCATATCATCGGTCTCAGCCACATGATAGACAGAAGACTGTCTTTCGAATACATATATCATTCAATGATATATGATACAGGTAATAATCGATAATCTGTTCTTAACGGTAGTTTGAATTGGAATAATGCCCACATGTACAGATCTATTTCCTCAGGACCTAAAAACATCTGTTCAGGATCAGATAATTAGCATTTCGCCATGTGCCTTTGCCCACTAAAGTCTTTCTCTGTGGGTTAAACAGTAATTATCCAAATACCACAAGAGGGATAAATACTCTAACTATCTAGTTACTCGTAGTCAAATGAATAGACAAATCCCGACCATGTAATCATATCCAGTCGGCTATTTAAGCTTTCTCATTCAAAATGGCTCTGGCCCTTTCTTTCGCCTTGCTCTTGGTAAACCCTATGGTGGTCATCAAACAGTCGATAGTCTTAACATGGCATAGAACATTTAGCAGTCGACCGCATGTATATATGCCAGGTGGCTTACTTTTGTTCCTCGACTGCCAAAACTACCTAGTACATGTAATGCAAGTTTGCTCGTGTCAAGGCCGAACGTGGATGACGTGTCCCCCTCGGCTTATGTGTTCATACATGGATGGCATGTGTAGTTTTATAATACAATAGAAGATGGCGAAGAGGTTACTCACAATACAAATCTTACATACGATAAATACGTAAACAAAAGTTATCTAAACAATATTAAGAATTGGAAAAACTTGTTTAGAAAAAAACGTCACTTTGTCTAGCCAAACAAAAAGATGAACGAGGGTGTGCTGCTGTAACGGCGAATCGAACGCCGGTCTCAAGCTTGCTCCAAAGAGGTGGAAGGCTAGAATGATAACCACTACACTACTACAGCCTGTCAAGACACAGCCAAGTTGTTGGTATTCGATAGACTGTGAGCAGGAAAAAAAGAAAAAAAAACCAGAGAAAACTATCTCTTTAGTTCGGATTAGTTAAAAAGCATACGTAAGCTAGTTAAAACCACTCAAGTCGGGGTAGAGTCATAGCTATATACTAATAGAACCCTAAGAAACACTGATTTTCAACTGTAAAAAAGGAGAATGTTTAAAACTAGAAACTACAGGATTGCTATATTTAAGTAAAGGCTCGATAGTAATATATACTATCTTGTCCCTAAAGACTTATCAAGACACATTCGGAAAACCTAACAACGGATACATCTTCCTTATTTGGTATGGCGCCTTAACAACCTATCTCAATCTCGCTTTAGCCCATGTAGCCATATATAGTAATCCAAAGACCTCCGATAGCAACTATGACAAGGGTTTATTGTCTCTAGATGTAGCATACAATACGTCATTATTATATCATATATTCCGCGTCGTGAGGGTAAAACCGGCCGTTTGGAAGCAGAGTGACTGGCCAACTTGGCAGCTGGTCAGGCGCCGATACTGCATCTGAGAAGTAGCGGACGGAAAGAACACAATCCTCTCGAGGCTAGACTTATGAAGCCTCCAGCAGCAGTTACCTACAGGAGGCCGTTGGTGCTTGATAGCCTGAAGAATATATGAACAGCCATTCTTCTCTTCGCCAACTTGGTTCGTGTCTCACTGTTATTTAGTCGCCGTGGTGTGTCAAATCACCTTTGGTGGGTACAGGAGAGCTGTGTTAAAAATCAAGCGCTTCTCCTATAATACCTGTAATGGTGACAGCTCTCATCGCACAGAAGATCGAAAACGACTGTTTGGCCTGTTCAAGTTCTTAATCACAAGCGCTTGCCCTGAGTTGTTGGACAAGAAGTAACATGTTAGCACCCCAATTGAGATGCTTCAAAACGTGTCTACTGATGTACATTTAACACATGTGATATTGGATGCGCAGAAATGTGGCGATCGGCTTAGCTACGTCTCTGACCCAGCATATCCGGACCTGAGGCCACTGTTAAGGTTATAGTATCAAAGCAGATGCTTACCGATAGCGTCTTGCGAATGAATCTCATAATGCTCCGCCGGAAATGATTATGATACGAGACTAACATGCACAGAAAGCCGGCTATGCCCTTCACGGGCATCTATACTTCAAGCATCAGCATGGAGTGTTAAAAGCCTCTAGCTAATGAAGAAAAACATCTAAATTGAAATCGAGACACATTCACTGCTTGTGGCAAAACCATTTGGCTGTGTTGTCTTTCGCTTGATTGATTGCGAAATCTATCAAGTTTTAAAGGCCTAGCCCAACTGGGTGATTGGGAGTCAGCGCTACAAATGCCGAGAGCAAGACCTTAGGCGAGCAGCATGATAAAAAAACTGCGATTCGAATTCGGTATGACACTTGACACTTGACAGGTACCTCAAGTTGCAGATAACAATGCTGATAAATCAATGGGATATGTACATACATGATACAACTAGCATATCACAAAATCGGCTTCGGAAGAATCATATCCTCTAGGTAGTCATTGCAAGCTGTAGGTGCCCCAGGTGTAACGTAGGATACCATCGTATTATTATGTGCTAAGCACATCACTGGGCACAGGTGAAAGAAAGTCACAAGACATATGATCCATAATATCAGAATTAAGTGTTTTCATACTATCTACTTTTATTGTACAGCGTGCAAATGTAGATGTGACTTGTAAGGCGCGATGATAACGCGACCTTAGAAAGAGTCACACTGCTCCACGATGATGCTCCGTCAAAGCTTGCAGCTAGTTTTGCTTTCCCGTCGCTCATTTTTTTAAGTCCGAAACAAGATGCCAATTAGAATGTGATTGGGGTCAAGGAACTCTCAGTTCTCAAGAGACGCCCGACCATCATAGCCATTCACCTGTTGCTCTAATCCTCCATATATTCTAACAAGCCGCGCGCTGATTACCACCGGCAAATCTCACTCATCGTCAGGATGTCCCGTAAAAACCCAATCTTCGTGAGCCGACATTACAGAAGCGGTCTCCTAGGCCCGAGCCATCACGGCACTGTAATGTGACCAGGCTAGGTTTCTAGAGTGCTTCAGGAGGACGTCTTCGGTAAGGGGCAGGCTAAGAATTCGATCGCTATCCACCTCCAGCTAAAGAGAGTTAGTGAACAGTACCCAGGCTTTCAGTGATGTGGTGCCTTACCTCTCCGATCTTGGCCATACTGGTGACTATCTTAGCAACCTCAGCAGCCATCTCGGTAAGAGCAGCGTACTCCTCTACACCGGCCTCAGGTGTGTTACCATGCATTGCGGGTAGACCTTCAAGCAGGCTATTGACTAATGCGAGGGGAGGGGCCTCGGAACGACGGTGGCAGCCCATAAGCTGCAGGAAAGCTTTATAAATTTCACCACCGACATTCCAATCAGGGACATGCAAGTGCCGCCCCTCAAATTGTTGAAGGACGTCGGCCAACCCGTCGTAGTCACGTTCGATCACAGTTCTGGGAGCGACCTCCTTGACAAAAGTTTGATGAGCTTCGGCCCAGGATTCGGCACGAAGCAGGCATTGCACTTCGCCCGTGGCATCCTTTCTCGCACTTCGCATGTGTAGTGCCTTTGAATGCCATATCCATTGCGTGGGAATTTTGAACTCAAATGCAAGCTTCCTGAACGACGCAGAGTCTTCATTCCCGATCAACGCGGCATGCCGGCATAAATGGTCCTGGATGGCCTTGGCGCGGGCATCCGAATCACTAAGGTGAAGAAAGACAAAGGCTGCTTCAAGCCAGCTGCTCTCATTTGTCAGTTGCGCAGCAAATGAGATCGTAGCGGCATCGGCCTTCTCGGTACCATTCTTGCCAAAGGATGACCGGCCAGTCGAAGCTAGGGCCTGTCCAAGTTGCCAACAGAGACGGTAATCAAGTGGGGATAATTGGGAGTTCTCTGGCCGAATAACGGATTCCAGATCTGCCGTAGTATCAGAATGCAGCTTCAACAGACCCCACAGGAGATCCTGTCTGTCTTCTTTGTGAGGATCCTCCCAAATAGCGGAAATGCCATGCTGGGCAAACCAAACAATGGGGCGTAGTTCCTGATACTGCTCAATATCTTGTTGGTAGCTATCAAACGCCTCAGCGATGCCGCCATCCTTCGAAATAGCATACCAGAGTCTGAGCCCGAAAGCCTGCTGCCAGTCGAGACCAAATCTTTTCGATATGGAGAATGATTCCGCGCGATTTTCCAAGGCTCCCTTGGTCCCATCGCATTCGCATACATTTCCGCCAAGCATCTCGTACAGCGCCCGAATCGGCTGCGAGAATTCCGATAAAACATTGGCATCTTGCCACTCACGGACTTGTTCCCGCATGTCCATTTTCAGGCTGTCGTCTGTGCCAATGAGTGAGACCAATGTGGCGAGGCGGAAGTTCTTGCCTTCAAGTAAGTACTTGCAAGCTTCGGCTACACGGTGGCCGGACAAAGCAGCCAGTGCTTTTTCTTCGTGCGTGTGTGCCATGGCAACTGCTTTGTTTGTGCGTTCTTCCACCATGGACTCCCATAGTCGAGACAAATTTTCGCGGCGCAGCATCTCAGCGATGGCATTCGCATCGCCCTGTAATTCCGCAGGAATCTTGACATTATCGAATAGAACGCTGGCAACTTCCCATACTAGTCTCTCGTGCTCTTCGGCTGAGCTTTTGGTTCCGCTGGCGACCGAGAAGTCTTTAAGGGTTGTTTTCGGATTCAATGTTACGGCTGGGATACCGTCCACAACATGAACTTGTGTCAGCTTCGCATGGTTGCTGATAGCCTTAGCAGACATCTGCGAGTCAAAATGTTAGCTAGAGTCATCCATGGTCCTAAATCCTCTGTTTGGCTTACCTCGTTCGTGAACTTGGCAATCCGGATATCTTGTGTTTCGGACACAATACCTCCTTTCAGGATAGTCATCAATCCGTTCTTTCCGTTGATGCGGCCTGATCGACCGAAGGCGGAGGCGCTGGGTGCTGCGGAGAATATGAGCGTACCACCTGGGCCCCAAGTTGGCCGTATTGTGTCGTGCCAGGTTCTGTCTCCAGAGTCCATATCGCTTTCATCCAAGTGTTTGGTGACACGTTTGTATGGCCACTATAGAAAAGAAGATATATTAGTATATGCATGAAGTCAATACGAGATAATTACACATCCTCTTATGCCCCCGTATTTCCGCAACTATAATATTATTGAATTAAAAACCAACCTTGACGCCCTGTGGCCGAACGGAGGCTTGAAAGTTTTCAGTGGGGGTCTTCGCCTTCTCAAACAGAGAATTCATGAGGTCAATACTTGTTGCGAAACCCTTGCTATCCGAGACAGTTCTTTTCTTCGTGGGGGATGGTTCCCGAACGCTGTCTCTTGCTGAACGATAGTTGTCCAGTTCGTGTATGCTTTTCAACAGTGCCCGATCACGCTTCTGAGGGCTGATTGTCTTGCTAAGCATATCCATCCAATCGTCGCCAGCTGCGACTTGGACCTTTACTGGCGTAGCTGAGCTTTTGATTGCACGCATCCTCGCCCTCATGATACCAGCAGGGGTTTCATGGGCAAGGTCTGATTGGCTGCCATCAAACGAGTCATTGTCGTGCTCCGCGGCGAGATGGTGCCCAAGGTGATCACTCGCATCGTCCACCTCGGACATCACATATTCGTCGTCCATGGTGGCTTGATCGAAAGGAACAAGGCCATGGGACGCAGAACCCGCGGAGCGATCAGCTAAAAAAGACGACCTCGGGGCATTGACTTCCGCCATATCATTTCCGTCGCTGCTGTAGTTGTATTCTTCCGGCTCGAAAGCACCTGGAGGGTGAGCGAATTTGGTCACCTCGTCTATGCTTTCTTCTTCTTCGGGCCCCACCGACCTAGCAGCTCTAGAATGGTGCGAAGGGACTGCTGAGGACTCCGGTGCAGCTTCTTCGTCCTCATCGTCGCTATCGTCTAGGCCGT